GCATCTGCAGGGGAGAGGTGTAGTTTAGAAAACCAAGCTCAAAACCTGCCTTTTTTAAAAAAAAAAAATGTGCTGCAATTTGAAAAAAAGAAAAGGTTTTCAATTGGTAGCAGTTGCTACCTTTATATATATATATATATATTTTAGTCTCATCAGTTCTTTGAGGTGTAGACCAGGAAACTTGCACCAAAAGAAATAATAGAATACTTTATTGACTGATTTATAGGCTATTATAACAGAATTTGGAAAGCCTTTCTCCTTCACTTCTGTTTTACCAAGGAAAAGTCCAAAGGAGAGGCATCTTTGGTTTATTTTTTCATACCTTCTTGTTTTCCTGGGCTAAGTTCATTTCTTCACCCAGAAATTTCACATAAGCCATTGTTAAAATTAAACCAACTTCACCTATATCCTCATCTAGGATCAAATTGCTGTTTTGAAGTTTGTTTCACCTGGAACAAACAAGGAACTTCTAAATGAGGGCCAAGCACACCTCTTTCCCCCTCCCAATTGCCTATACCTCTAAATCTACTCTTGGGAAGTGAGGTGAAATTTCTTTTTATTCCTCACTCTAGTTTCTCTTTTACCATTCAACTCAATCTCCACTTCCAGGCTAGAAATCAACAGTGAGGTCCAGGCATGAAAGCCAACAGGGTGAATTTGAGCCAGTCACTCTCTCAGCCCAACTCATTTCACTGGTTGGTTTGTTGTGGGGAAAACTGAAGCAGGAATATTATGTCCACCACCTTGACTTATTTTTTTAAAATAATAAAGGCAGGATAAAACGAAACCTTTTTTAAAAAAAAAATGCCAGCAGGCAGAGAAAGGAAGTGGATCTTGGGAGAAATAATAAGAGAAGCTGCTGCAAACATTTGGTTCAGCTGCAGACTTGAAAAGTTGCAAGCCTCTTTCCCTCTTTACTACAAAACTATAGTTAATCCTTGACTTACTTCCACAACTGAGCTCAACATTTCTGTTACTGAGACATGTTAGATGAATTTTGCTCCGTCTTACGACCTTCCTTGCCACAATTGTTAAGTGAATCACTGTAAGTGTTAAGTTAGTAACATGGTTAAGCGAGCCTAGCTTCCCCATTGGCTTTCCTTCTCAGAATTGGAATTTGGAATTTATTGCACTTATATGCCGCCCTTTTCCCCGAAGGGGACTCGGGGTGGCTCACAATCCAAGTCAGGGAAGGGGATACAGATAAGGGATAAGCTCTCTCAACAAGGCTCTCGGACACTGCAACTGTGATAAATGCCAGTTACCTAGGCCCTGAATTTTGATTACTTGAGAATGCTGCAACAGTTGTGCCACTTTCCCAGTGCCTGTGTTAACTTCAAACAGTCAGTAAACAAACTGGTTGTAAGTTGAGGACTGCTTGCAGAAACAACAAGGTGATTGTTCGAACCCCTAGTGCCGCGTAATGGAGCGAGCTCCCGTTACTTGTCCCTGCTTCTGCCAACCTAGCAGTTCGAAAGCACGTAAAAATGCAAGTAGAAAAATAGGAACCACTTTTGGTGGGAAGGTAACAGCGTTTTTTTTACGTCTTCGGCATTTAGTCATGCTGGCCACATGACCCCCGGAGACATCTCCGGACAGCGCTGGCTCTTCGGCTTTGAAACGGAGATGAGCACCACCCCCTAAAGTCAGAATGACTAGCACATATGTGCAAGGGGATCCTTTCCTTTATTAAGTTCACTTCTCTTACCTCAGGGGTGTCAAACCTGCGGGCCAGGTGCGTCATGTGCTGGCCCTGCTCCCACCCAGTTTAGCGAAGGGGGAAAAAGTCAGGTGACAATGCCACAAGTTTGACACCCCTGCCTTACCCCTCTACAGAAAGCACAACTTTTCTCAGCTATGCACCTTGAGAGTTGATTCTAAAAGCTTTTTTCCCAGACTAACTTGAGATACTTTGCAACTCTCCACTTTATAACAAAAGCTGGTATCGTCCACAGGTTTCTGCAGCTTTTTACTCTGAACATGGCTTGTTTCTTGTACATTTCCTTCAGCCAAGACTGGAGAAGTCAGTCATACTTTCAGAGAAGTACGTGTGGTTACAGCTAGTTGTTCGGCCTTGATTAAATCTAGATGAATTCCAGTCATCTGGTTTCAGTTCCTTAGCAGCAGCTTTTAAAGTAGGTAATTTTTTTTAAAAAAAGAGGAGATAAGCTTGTCCTTGGCGTGAAGGAAAACATTTGAACTACCAGATGAGTTTAGCAACATTTTTAAGGATCAGAACAGTGAAGTCAACGTGTATACAGCTTTTTAAAGAAAAAATAGGTGTCGCAATTTGGAAATTTCTTCCAATTGGGGAGGCCAGAACTACAGAACCCCATTAGCAAAACGTGGAATAAAAATCCAAGCAGACCTGCAAGAAACTGAAAAAAAATATATATGTTACTTGTAGTTTCCCATGACACACACAATCTCCAGTGGGGGGGTCCAGAAGGTTGTGTCTGCTGTTGCGATAGTTGTGGAGCTGCCCACAAGGAAGCCTCCAGCTTTGACGTATTTGCAGAGGCATTGAATGGCCTCCCCATTTCAAACAGTTTTGTTGCCCTTATTTGCACCGGGCGTCAGGACTGTCATTTGTACTTAAAATGATTTGATTTTTCTCTCCGGTAGAATTTGGAGACAGGGATAAGGCAACGTTTCTGATGCCTCGGGTAGCAAAATTGGATTGCTGCTATGTGTTCTACATAGCACTACCACTGAACGTCTGGAAATTACAAATGGCTCAGAAATGTTGTGATTCGGGCACTTTTGCCCATATTATACCACTGCTACGAAGATTGCACTAGCTTGCAGTTTCCTTCCAGGTATAAATTGAAGCTGCTGGTTATTATCACTAAAGCCTTACATATGCATGGCACTAGAATACTTATTATTTATTTATTTATGTATTTATTTGTCTTGTATGCCGCCCACTCCCGGAGGACTCCGGGCAGCTCACAAAAGACAAGGGAAAAGGGGGAAAAACGAGACAAAGACAACATATTAAAAACAAAACCAACATTCACAGTTTCCGTGGAGGTAGATGTTTCTCAGAAGGACTCTTGTAGGACTCTGCTCCCCAGGCCTGTTCCATGCTTCTTTCTTTACACTTGCCTTCTAGCAAGATTTTTAGGAAGTG